AGAACTCCTCATACTCATAAAGAGGAAGTTAATAATCAAACCAAAAACTTATCTCGGATAAAATTGTAGAACCGTCTGTATCGGAATATAACAGCCCTATATTTCTTGTCCCAAAAAAAGGGATTACCTGGTTCCGATACCAAGAGATAACGATTAGTTATAGACTATCGTCAAATTTACATAAAACTCTTGTTTGACAAATTTCCACTCCCAAGATTTGATGATATTCTTGACCAACTAGGCAGAGCAAAATATTTCTCATGCTTAGATTTAATGTCCGGTTTTCACTAAATATAATTAGAAGAAAATTATATAAATATAATGTCTTTTCCAACGAACAATGGCTCCTATCGTTTTACACGATTAGCATATGGTCTAAAAATAGTGCCTAATTCTTTTCAAAAAATGATGACCATCGCTTTTTCCGGATTAGAACCTTCACAAGCTTTCTTGTACATGGATGACTTGATCGTCATCGGTTGTTCCGAAAACCACATGATCGAAAACTTAACAAAAGTTTTTGACTTGTGTAGGCAACACAACCTTAAATTACATCCAGAGAAGTGACTTTTCTAGATCATATATGTACTGATCAAGGTATTTTTCCAGATGACAAAAAATATGGTGTCATTGAAAAATATCAAGTCCCTATGTACGCTGATAGCGCTAGAAGATTCGTTGCATTTTGCAATTATTACAGACGTTTTATAAAAAACTTTGCAGATTATTCACTTCACATTACAAGATTATGTAAAAAGACTGTAAAGTTTGAGTGGTCCGATGAATGCCAAAAAGCTTTAGAAAATTTAAAAAAATTAAGCCTACTTTACTAAAATACTCAGATCTTGGCAAAGAATTTTGCATCATAACATGCCAGTAAACTAGCTTGCGGAGCAGTTTTGACTCAAACGTATGGAGATAAACAATTGCCTGTTGCATATGCTTCTTGTTTATTTACAAAAGGAGAAAGCAATATAAGTACCTCCGAACAACAGTTGGTATCCACTAGGCAATAACGCATTTTCGACCATACATATATGGTCAACATTTCACAATTAAAGCAGACCAGAGACTATTGACATATCTGTTTTCAATGGTAAATCCAAGTTCAAAATTAACGAGAAGGAGACTAGATTTAGAAGAGTTTGAGTTCACTGTAGAATACCTTAAGCGAAAAGATCATTTTATGGCAGATGCGTTATGAAGAATAACCATCAAAAAATTAAAAAGTACTAACGCAAATGTCTTGAAAGTCACTACAAGACAACAAAGAAGACAAAATAAATCCTGCGCAGGAAATGAACAAAAAATTTTGCCAAGGCAAAATCTTGATAAAGGCTTCTGAGTCCCATGTATACGACGTCATTAAAAACGACGATATGCTAAAAATAGTAACCTTACACATAACTAATATGCTATGTATTTAAAACATGGTAAAAAGGTTGTTGCAAGAATTGAGATTAGGGACCTTTATGCTAATGGAACTATCGATTTAGGTCAATTTTTCCAATGGCTTGAAAAAGAAGCCGGTATATTGGGAATCAGCCAACTTTAAGTGGTACCGAGCGAAAGATCTTTGAAAACACTTTAATAGATACTTTCAATAATATGGGCAATATATATTTTAACAACTTAAGAGTAGCGCTACTCAGGCCGGTAACCCAAATAAATAAAGAAAAAGAAGCAATAATGTCTACATTCTATGATGAGATGGTTACAGAGGCTTTTCAAAACCGGTAGCAAAAATAAAATGACATTACTATTGGAAAGGTACGTGCGTAATTGTCCGAAATTTTAAAAAGCTAAAACAACAAAGCACACTAAGACACTTACCTAACAAAATATCTAATTGCCATTCTGACCCCAAATAAACATTTTTGAAGCTTTTATTCTGAAGTACGGTCCAATGGAGACGTTCATCACGCATATGGGAACAGAAAATAAGAATTCAATCATAAATGACTTGTGCAAATACCTAAAAATTAATAGAACGAGAAAGAAGGGCTATCTTTGACACGCCAAAGATCTAATACCTTTTCATAATGCTCATAGTGCTTTGCCCCTATCTAAGAAGTACCGGAAAAATAGTAAATGCCGATTTTGGTCAAGATATCTTGATAAACAAAATGTTTTTTCATACAAAAACTGAATTTTCGACCGATCGTTCCTATGGCAGCTATATGATATAGTGGTCAGATCCAGCTGGTTTTCACATATGTGCTGCGTGCAACAGAAAGAGGGAGTTCTGCAAAGTTTCATTAAGATAGCTTCAAAACTGAGGGACTAGTTCGCATAGAAACAGACAGACGGACAGACGGACATGGCTATATCGACTCGGCTGTTGATGCTGATTAAGAATATATATACTTTAGGAGATGTCGGAGATGTCTCCTTCTATGCGTTACACATTTCACGACAAAATTATAATACCCTCTGCAAGGGTATAAAAATACTAAATTGCATGATCAGCCAAAACAAAACACAAAATATATACTTATTTATAAACAAATTTTTTTTTTGTTTTAATCTTTATTACTTTAAAAAGAAAAATATACAATAAATTAAAAATAACTACATTATACTACGTTTTTTTCTAAAAGGGGAGGTGTAGTGTGTATATGCCTTACTAGAACACCCTATATAAACTATGTGGTACCTTGTCACATACAATCACAATTATACATTAAACAAGCCCAGAGCCACTTTATATATTGGCTCTTTCCCATATTACGCAGCGCAGGTTACTAGCCTCTATGTTTACGCTGCACTTCCCACGTTCCGTCTGAGCGCATTCAATGAGCAACATATATGCTCACTAACACAGGCATATGCAAGCTACTCACTCTCCCTCTCTCTGTAGCTGTTTACCAATAATAGCATAAGTATATACATGAATCCATAGGCTAAGTGCATTATATAGATTTGAAAAAAATGCATTCCATTTCAATAACCAAAAAACACTTAACACAAAAGTGATGTACTAGGCTTTGAATTAATAGATCGCGTCGTATATAAAATTGAAAGCAGTGGCTTGTGATTATATGCTCGAGCAAGTATGGAAGGCCAGCTGATCCGCCTAGCGCATGAAAAATTTGGCCATTTAGCAGCAGACAAGTGTTTTAATAATTTAAAAAAATCTTATTGGTTCCCTGCTTTGCGGAGTAAAGTAGAGAAATTTATCCGAAACTGTTTGCCATGCATATTGCATTCTGTTCCAAAAACCATACATAATAAGACACTTCATAGCATACCCAAACCTAGTGTAGAGTTCCATACTTTTAAAAATTTTGTAAAGCTTTTTCCAGTAAATGCGTTTAATAAATATTTTGAATATTACAGCTACCCGAAAATTATAATATCAGATCGTGGGACATAGAACATATTAAAGTAGCGACGGGAGCACCACAAGTTAATGTCCAAGTTGAGCGTGTTAGCCGGGTGGTAACACCTATGATGGGAAAACTGTCGGAACCAATTTCAAGCAGGCTGGCACAAATTAATGATTAGGGTAGAGTTCGCTATCAACAATGCGGTTCATGGTAGTACTCGATGCCGCTTGCCTCCGTTGATATATGGTTTATGGTCGTAATACTTTACACAACGGCAAATGTTCGGGGCGAATTTACACATTTTTTAATAATGTTCCTTTTTTGAAAGATGTGTGAAATGTGTTTTCTTATGGGGAAATGCAAAGGCAGCATTTCACACAATTTGCAAAAAAGTCACAGTTCCAGAAAAGTGTAAGAAATGTGTTCAGTGGACAGAGGCTATAAAAAATAATTTTAAAATTACCACTGTTTTTATACCCTGAACCCATTCAAAATGGGTATAAGGGTATATTGTATTTGTGCAAAATCCAAATGTATGTAACAGGCAGAAGGAAGTATCTCCGACCCCATAAAGTATATATATTCTTGATCAGCACTAATAGCCGAGTCGATCTAGCCATGTCCGCCTGTCCATCCGTCCGTCCGTCCGTATGTATGAACGCAAGGATCAAGTTAATAACCCAACTTTGATTACACACCAATTTAAGCCACAATTTGAATGCAATTGACTTTTTCAGAATACACAAATATTCTATGGTACAATAAGATATACTGTAGAAAATTTCATAAAGATCGATTAGGAAAAAAAAAACAAAGTTATATGCAACTGCGCAATTGAATGGGCAGCAGCTTTAAGAATTTCTATATACATGTACACACACACACATTCATACTCATCTGCTTCGCATTTTAACAGCATGGTAATTGCGACCTTTTTCTGTAATGATTTTTAATTTCTTTTTTTATCATACGTAGGTAATTATTTGTGTGGCTGCTGAGTAGAGGCATTGCAAGTGGTGCGGTCTGTCGCGAATTCGAGCCCTACCGGGGTAAATTTTTTTTTTTTTTTTGCTGGTGTGGCTGTTTAGTAGAGTCGACAGCAAGTAATGCGGTCAGTTGCGAGCTCGAACCCTGCCAAGGCAACTTTTTTTTGTTGATTTTTTTGGTGTTGGTGTTACTTGTTTTAAATTCGTTTAAAAAAAAGAACATATTAAACAATTTTTTATTACAGTATGAAGACGAGCTGGAAGGTCTCTGCAAAATGCCAAAAGCGGAGAAGAAATATTAGTCGTCAACTTCGTTGAGTTCCCAAAAAAGCTCGCAAAGCATTTTAGATAAATTTTTTCAGTTTCAGTATTAACACGAACAAATATTTTCGAATGCGCTGTCCTTAATGGCTCAACAACGTCTTTAAATGAAAAATCATTAGTTGATGCAAATTGAGGCAATTTTATTCGCTTTTAATTAAATAAACAAAAATATGAACATGGAAATGCAAATGATGAAATGCCCGTTTATATGTATGAATACTCTTTATGTGTGATAATCAATGTAAAGAGTGATCATATATACATATATGCGTGCGCATTGTTTTAGCACGCGCATTAAGGGACATACATATGGTATTATTATTATAATTTTCCAAAAATAAAAGTTTACCTTCTTTAATAGCCAAAACTCTTGAATGAAATGTCAACACCCGACACGATCAGATGATACACTTCTGTGCTGGGATACCCGTAAGTAAGTATCAATCGGCTTATTTACAAAAACACATCATTTTCTCACTTACACTTTGGAGATGACCACGTCACGCAGGATTACAGAAGCTCTGCTGGATTGTGTACGACAGCCACGCAAAGTGCAGCAGCGACCTAAGGTGATGACGAACATAGTAAATGTTTTAGTTACATATTTGTGGTTACATATTTGTGGTAAAAATAGATGCGTCTGAGCGTCCAGCTAAATTAATTCCATATTGGCGTCCAGACAAATGAGTACGAGTAAGTCATGATTAAATTATTAACCTCACGAATCTCCTGTACACTCTGCAGAAATTGTGGCAATGGTTTTGTTTAAATCTAAGAGCTGGTGCGGCACATGAATAAACAGATGAATCGACCTTATGCCCCGCGTCCTTCACCGATCGTTGAACTACGAGAAAGCATCATTAGTAAGTAAATTCCTCAATAGGATACAAAAGGGGAAAACCGCACTTGTCAGTTTTGTTCAACCATATATTAATTTATTTAATTATTTATTGCAGTATTGTTGTTATTATATTGTTAACACCCATAAAATGCGATTGCATCATGTGTCGCATAAGAAACGTGAAACTTGTTGACTTGGACATGCAAACGCAAAAACCTATTAAAAATGAAATGGTTATCGTGTTGAATGAGTTAAAATTGATTATGTAAGATTATATTAGTAACATTTAATCAAATAACTTTGCCTGGTTAAAACCGATTTATAAACGCTGATCAATTTATAAATTTTTTTTAATCAGACTTTAAATTATATTACTAATGTAAAGCATAAATATATTTAATATATAAATTATGAGTCTTTCTTGAGTGTATTGATTAAGTGATATTTATTTGTTGCACGTTTGGCAATTATGTTTTACGCTGACGACTTAATTATGAGTCTTTTGAGTGTATTGATTAAGTGATATTTATTTATTGCCCGTTTGGCAATTATGTTTTACGCTGATGACTTGGTGCCGGAGTACTGACGTGTTGAGCTAACGACGTTTATTTCAGAACTAAAAACATGCGATACAATTCTTAGGGCTTAAAGCTAACCGAATATGATTCTTAAATTATTTCCTCGTTCATAGCGGCCACGTAAATATGGTGTGTCTGCCGGCTATGCAACGACATCCGGCCCAATGCTTATTCAGCAATTGTGGTCGGAGTCATATTCAGGTCAACCGTTCGCTGACTCCGCTTAACTACTCCCCCTTTAAGACCAAGGCCGCCCTCGGCCGACCCTATTTCTGCGATCACTTCTCTTAACTGTAGCGCAGACTTTCTGGCGCTGGTGATTCGCCAAAACGGAAGACCGATGCCAATGAGCAAAACACATACCACTCCCACGATGTATATTATCTGGTATACGGCTTTGCTACCGGTACCTCTTTGAATTTCTGGATCTCCTCCAGGTTACTTTCACTCAGTCGGTGAAGGTACGGAAGACTGAGGATATCCCGGCTGGCCGTGATATTTAGTAAGGGGGTGTTAGCAGTACCTGGGACCTTATTCTGCACGTTGTTATGGTTAATGAATAAAGTTCCGTTCACCGCAGCGCGGTCGATGAAGGTGATGAGATGCGTGCCATGTACCCAGATTTCGGTGCCGTTGTCCACTTGCACTTTCGCTGGCCTGTCATTTACGATGAGAATTCCGTCATCTACGAAAGTGATAGCGACTAAATTGCTTGGTTGGATTTCGCAATTCGCTATCCCGCCTACGTAAAGCTCTCTGGCGCATGAACTCCCGGATGCTAGATGACAAAATGTGGCCCCCGGAGAGGCGGTGCAATTTTCGAGAGCATGCGTTTCCCCATCGCAATCTGCCACGACGTTATTCATCATGCGTAGTATGAAATTCTCATGTGTGACCGGGAAAATAGCGAACTTTTTGCAAGCAAATTTAATTTTCGGAAATTTAATAATAAACTAAAGGATGTTAACGGACTGTAAAACTTTCACGGACGCAACGGACATAAGATCCCCTATGGGAGTGGGTTCCTCCAGCCAAACTGATGCCAAATCTGAATGATCGAGAATGTTTGGGCTAACAATGTTAACCTTTGCAAGAGGTGTTGCCAGCATTAGATTTTGCAACTCCATCATTAACATTCGATTCCTGGCTAGTAATGTCTCATATAAATGGCCAGTATCGGCTTGAGTGTCCTTAGCTGTTCCGAGAATCTGACTGACTGTAGAAGTAAGTTGATTAATTTGTACCTGGATTCTTGTGTTAATTTCTATTTGCTTATTGTTTGAATTAATTAATTGTGCCTCAATGAACCGAGTTTTTTCTAAATCGCCGGCATCCGGTGTGCCTGCCACAACCTTCAACATGGAACCTAAGAAGTCTTAGCTCCTGGCCACTGTGTGGTGCGCGCCCAACGCCTCTAGCAAATCTCGGAGGTGATCTGCATCCACGCTCAGAAGCTTTTTCATTTGCGACTGTGGGAACATGACATTCAATTGGACCGTTTCTTCTACTCTACGCATGTATTCTGAGAGATTCGCTGAATGTTTAACGTAGGCGTATTCTTCCCATACTAGGACACGGCCATCGACAATGGGAATGTATTTGGACTGAGAATAGTCCGTGATGCGTGCCGAAGTCAAGGATAGGAAGAAGGGAAGGACAAATCCAAACCACAAATGATGCCATTTCAAAATTTGTCAACATTTATACGGAAGCAACAGGCCAGGCAGAGGTAATTATCAGAACAACGGTCCCAGAAACAATAACCAAAGTTATAACATAAATTATAATAGGGCAGAAGGCCAAAATAGAGGAAACTCTAAAGGCCGTGGCAACTCGAATCGAGGCCACAACAATAATGTCCGAGTTACTCAGACTAACTCGGAAAACCAACAAAACCCTTAAGATATGCAACAAGACACACCAAAGTACGCACAGTCAATAAAAACCTCAGTATCGTACTTAAATAGAGTAACAGGATACCAGATCTGAAAATAAACAATATATAAAAAAATAAACAAAAAAAAGTGAGTATCTTCATTAAGATAAATAACGAAAAAACAGGTAATGCATTTACCCTATTGTTAGATACTGGTGCAGGCATATCACTATCAAAAGAACATGTTTATACATTTAAAAACATTAATTTAAACATATCAACTCATATATCTGGCATCGGGGAAGGCTCAGTTTTTTCTAAAGGCTTAGCATACGTAAAATTATCCACCGGAAAATATGTCATTCCTCACGACTTTCACATAGTCGGACACGATTTCCCAATACCCAGAGATGGCAATATTGGTATAGACTTCTTTAAAAAGTATAATTGCCAGTTTGATTTCACACAAACATGTGATTCTCTAATACTTCGGCCAAATAATTTAAAATATCCAATAGAACTACCAACAACTCACACTTGTGATACTGATGCCACAATACTTCCAGCTCGTTCTGAAGTAGTCCGTCAAATCAATATTGTTTTGACAGAAAACAATATTTTCATTCCAAATCAAGAAATTGATAAGGGAATATTCATTGGAAATACTATTTCCAACAATCAACAAACATTTGTTCGAAATTTAAATACAACAAATTCATTAAATATAGTAAATCTTAACGATATTAAAGTACAAAAGCTAAGTGACTATGAAACAGTCCATGCAATCATCAAAGATCGCTAACAAATAGTGATGAAAAAAATAAAAAAGACCATTCCCCCATTATTCAAAACACAACTAAAAGATCTCTGCACCGAGTATACAGACATATTTGGACTCGAACCGAATCCAAAATAACCAATAATTTTTATTAACAAAAACTAAGACTAAAAGATACTGAGCCAGTTTACATTAAGAACTACAGAACTCCTCATACTCATAAAGAGGAAGTTAATAATCAAACCAAAAACTTATCTCGGATAAAATTGTAGAACCGTCTGTATCGGAATATAACAGCCCTATATTTCTTGTCCCAAAAAAAGGGATTACCTGGTTCCGATACCAAGAGATAACGATTAGTTATAGACTATCGTCAAATTTACATAAAACTCTTGTTTGACAAATTTCCACTCCCAAGATTTGATGATATTCTTGACCAACTAGGCAGAGCAAAATATTTCTCATGCTTAGATTTAATGTCCGGTTTTCACTAAATATAATTAGAAGAAAATTATATAAATATAATGTCTTTTCCAACGAAAAATGGCTCCTATCGTTTTACACGATTAGCATATGGTCTAAAAATAGTGCCTAATTCTTTTCAAAAAATGATGACCATCGCTTTTTCCGGATTAGAACCTTCACAAGCTTTCTTGTACATGGATGACTTGATCGTCATCGGTTGTTCCGAAAACCACATGATCGAAAACTTAACAAAAGTTTTTGACTTGTGTAGGCAACACAACCTTAAATTACATCCAGAGAAGTGACTTTTCTAGATCATATATGTACTGATCAAGGTATTTTTCCAGATGACAAAAAATATGGTGTCATTGAAAAATATCAAGTCCCTATGTACGCTGATAGCGCTAGAAGATTCGTTGCATTTTGCAATTATTACAGACGTTTTATAAAAAACTTTGCAGATTATTCACTTCACATTACAAGATTATGTAAAAAGACTGTAAAGTTTGAGTGGTCCGATGAATGCCAAAAAGCTTTAGAAAATTTAAAAAAATTAAGCCCACTTTACTAAAATACTCAGATCTTGGCAAAGAATTTTGCATCATAACAGATGCCAGTAAACTAGCTTGCGGAGCAGTTTTGACTCAAACGTATGGAGATAAACAATTGCCTGTTGCATATGCTTCTCGTTTATTTACAAAAGGAGAAAGCAATATAAGTACCTCCGAACAACAGTTGGTATCCACTAGGCAATAACGCATTTTCGACCATACATATATGGTCAACATTTCACAATTAAAGCAGACCAGAGACTATTGACATATCTGTTTTCAATGGTAAATCCAAGTTCAAAATTAACGAGAAGGAGACTAGATTTAGAAGAGTTTGAGTTCACTGTAGAATACCTTAAGCGAAAAGATCATTTTATGGCAGTTGCGTTATGAAGAATAACCATCAAAAAATTAAAAAGTACTAACGCAAATGTCTTTAAAGTCACTACAAGACAACAAAGAAGACAAAATAAATCCTGCGCAGGAAATGAACAAAAAATTTTGCCAAGGCAAAATCTTGATAAAGGCTTCTGAGTCCCATGTATACGACGTCATTAAAAACGACGATATGCTAAAAATAGTAACCTTACACATAACTAATATGCTATGTATTTAAAACATGGTAAAAAGGTTGTTGCAAGAATTTAGATTAGGGACCTTTATGCTAATGGAACTATCGATTTAGGTCAATTTTTCCAATGGCTTGAAAAAGAAGCCGGTATATTGGGAATCAGCCAACTTTAAGTGGTACCGAGCGAGAGATCTTTGAAAACACTTTAATAGATACTTTCAATAATATGGGCAATATATATTTTAACAACTTAAGAGTAGCACTACTCAGGCCGGTAACCCAAATAAATAAAGAAAAAGAAGCAATAATGTCTACATTCTATGATCAGATGGTTACAGAGGCTTTTCAAAACCGGTAGCAAAAATAAAATGACATTACTATTGGAAAGGTACGTGCGTAATTGTCCGAAATTTTAAAAAGCTAAAACAACAAAGCACACTAAGACACCTACCTAACAAAATATCTAATTGCCATTCTGATCCCAAATAAACATTTTTGAAGCTTTTATTCTGAAGTACGGTCCAATGGAGACGTTCATCACGCATATGGGAACAGAAAATAAGAATTCAATCATCAATGACTTGTGCAAATACCTAAAAATTAATAGAACGAAAGAAGGGCTATCTTTGGCACATCAAAGATCTAATACCCTTGCAGACCCAACCTTTTGATAATGCTCATAGTGCTTTGCCCCTATCTAAGAAGTACCGGGAAAATAGTAAATGCCGATTATGGTCAAGATATCTTGATAAACAAAATGTTTTTTCATACAGCTTAATTTTCGACCGATCGTTCCTATGGCAGCTATATGATATAGTGGTCCGATCCAGCTGGTTTTCACATATGTGCTGCGTGCAACAGAAAGAGGGAGTTCTGCAAAGTTTCATTAAGATAGCTTTAAAACTGAGGGACTAGTTCGCATAGAAACAGACAGACGGACAGACGGACATGGCTATATCGACTCGGCTGTTGATGCTGATTAAGAATATATATACTTTAGGAGATGTCTGAGATGTCTCCTTCTATGCGTTACACATTTCACGACAAAATTATAATACCCTCTGCAAGGGTATAAAAATACTAAATTGCATGATCAGCCAAAACAAAACACAAAATATATACTTATTTATAAACAAATTTTTTTTTGTTTTAATCTTTATCACTTTAAAAAGAAAAATATACAATAAATTAAAAATAACTACATTATACTACGTTTTTTTCTAAAAGGGGAGGTGTAGTGTGTATATGCCTTACTAGAACACCCTATATAAACTATGTGGTACCTTGTCACATACAATCACAATTATACATTAAACAAGCCCAGAGCCACTTTATATATTGGCTCTTTCCCATATTACGCAGCGCAGGTTACTAGCCTCTATGTTTACGCTGCACTTCCCACGTTCCGTCTGAGCGCATTCAATGAGCAACATATATGCTCACTAACACAGGCATATGCAAGCTACTCACTCTCCCTCTCTCTGTAGCTGTTTACCAATAATAGCATAAGTATATACATGAATCCATAGGCTAAGTGCATTATATAGATTTGAAAAAAATGCATTCCATTTCAATAACCAAAAAACACTTAACACAAAAGTGATGTACTAGGCTTTGAATTAATAGATCGCGTCGTATATAAAATTGAAAGCAGTGGCTTGTGATTATATGCTCGAGCAAGTATGGAAGGCCAGCTGATCCGCCTAGCGCATGAAAAATTTGGCCATTTAGCAGCAGACAAGTGTTTTAATAATTTAAAAAAATCTTATTGGTTCCCTGCTTTGCGGAGTAAAGTAGAGAAATTTATCCGAAACTGTTTGCCATGCATATTGCATTCTGTTCCAAAAACCATACATAATAAGACACTTCATAGCATACCCAAACCTAGTGTAGAGTTCCATACTTTTAAAAATTTTGTAAAGCTTTTTCCAGTAAATGCGTTTAATAAATATTTTGAATATTACAGCTACCCGAAAATTATAATATCAGATCGTGGGACATAGAACATATTAAAGTAGCGACGGGAGCACCACAAGTTAATGTCCAAGTTGAGCGTGTTAGCCGGGTGGTAACACCTATGATGGGAAAATTGTCGGAACCAATTTCAAGCAGGCTGGCACAAATTAATGATTAGGGTAGAGTTCGCTATCAACAATGCGGTTCATGGTAGTACTCGATGCCGCTTGCCTCCGTTGATATATGGTTTATGGTCGTGATACTTTACACAACGGCAAATGTTCGGGGCGAATTTACACATTTTTTAATAATGTTCCTTTTTTGAAAGATGTGTGAAATGTGTTTTCTTATGGGGAAATGCAAAGGCAGCATTTCACACAATTTGCAAAAATGTCACAGTTCCAGAAAAGTGTAAGAAATGTGTTCAGTGGACAGAGGCTATAAAAAATAAATTTAAGATTACCACTGTTTTTATACCCTGAACCCATTCAAAATGGGTATAAGGGTATATTGTATTTGTGCAAAATCCAAATGTATGTAACAGGCAGAAGGAAGTATCTCCGACCCCATAAAGTATATATATTCTTGATCAGCACTAATAGCCGAGTCGATCTAGCCATGTCCGCCTGTCCATCCGTCCGTCCGTCCGTATGTATGAACGCAAGGATCTCAGAACCTATAAGAGCTAGAGACTTGAAATTTTTTAGATATAGGTGCTCCTAGTTCCCGCGCAGATCGAGTTTTTTTCCGATGATCGATAACTAATTCCGTTTCCAAGCAATCGACAAAAATCGATATCCACATCCTGTTTTTTTTTCGCAAATTGGGCAAATAATAAGAGCTAGAGCCACCAAAGATGATATGTTGCTTCTAGAATATTATAGATATTTCAAGTATCTTTCATTTCATACCTATCGCCACCTCCCCGCTACCATCCTAGAGCTGTAAATCAAGTTAATAACCCAACTTTTATTACACACCAATTTAAGCCACAATTTGAATGCAATTGACTTTTTCAGAATACACAAATATTCTATGGTACAATAAGATATACAGTAGAAAATTTCATAAAGATCGATTAGGAAAAAAAAAAACAGTTATATGCAACTGCGCAATTGAATGGGGCAGCAGCTTTCAGAATTTCTATATACATGTACACACACACATTCATACTCGTCTGCTTTGCATTTTAACAGCATGGTAATTGCGACTTTTTTCTGTAATGATTTTTAATTTCTTTTTTTATCATAAGTAGGTAATTATTGGTGTGGCTGCTGAGTAGAGGCATAGCAAGTGGTGCGGTCTGTCGCGAGTTCGAGCCCTACCGGGGAAATTTCTTTCTTTTTTTTGCTGTGTGGCTGTTTAGTAGAGTCGACAGCAAGTAATGCGGTCAGTTGCGAGTTCAAACCCTGCCAAGACAACTTTTTTTAGTTGATTTATTTGGTGTTGGAATAAGAGGTTCAGGGTATTCCCTGTTCGGGAGCTCCAGACTAAAACCTCTTATTTGTTTTGAATTCGTTTAAAAAAAAAGAACATATTAAAACATTTTTTTATTACAGTATGAAGACGAGCTGGAAGGTCTCTGCGAAATGCCAATAGCGGAGAAGAAATATTAGTCGTCAACTTCGTTGAGTTCCCAAAAAAGCTCGCAAAGCATTTTAGATAAATTTTTTCAGTTTCAGTATTAACACGAACAAATATTTTCGAATGCGCTGTCCTTAATGGCTCAACAACGTTTTTAAATGAAAAATCATTAGTTATATTAATTGATGCAAATTGAGGCAATTTTATTCGCTTTTAATTAAATAAACAAAAATATGAACATGGAAATGCAAATGATGAAATGCCCGTTTATATGTATGAATACTCTTTATGTGTGATAATCAATGTAAAGAGTGATCATATATACATATATGCGTACGCATTGTTTTAGCACGCGCATTAAGGGACATACATATGGTATTATTATTATAATTTTCCAAAAATAAAAGTTTAGCTTCTTTAATAGGCCAAAACTCTTGAATGAAATGTCAACACCCGACACGATCAGATGATACACTTCTGTGCTGGGATACCCGTAAGTAAGTATCAATCGGCTTATTTACAAAAACACATCATTTTCTCACTTACACTTTGGAGATGACCACGTCACGCAGGATTACAGAAGCTCTGCTGGATTGTGTACGACAGCCACGCAAAGTGCAGCAGCGACCTAAGGTGATGACGAACATAGTAAATGTTTTAGTTACATATTTGTGGTTACATATTTGTGGTAAAAATAGATGCGTCTGAGCGTCCAGCTAAATTAATTCCATATTGGCGTCCAGACAAATGAGTACGAGTAAGTCATGATTAAATTATTAACCTCACGAATCTCCTGTACACTCTGCAGAAATTGTGGCAATGGTTTTGTTTAAATCTAAGAGCTGGTGCGGCACATGAATAAACAGATGAATCGACCTTATGCCCCGCTTCCTTCACCGATCGTTGAACTACGAGCAAGCATCATTAGTAGGTAAATTCCTCAATAGCATACAAAAGGGGAAAACCGCACTTGTCAGTTTTGTTCAACCATATATTAATTTATTTAATTATTTATTGCAGTATTGTTGTTATTATATTGTTAACACCCATAAAATGCGATTGCATCATGTGTCGCATAAGAAACGTGAAACTTGTTGACTTGGACATGCAAACGCAAAAACCTATTAAAAATGAAATGGTTATCGCGTTGAATGAGTTAAAATTGATTATGTAAGATTATATTAGTAACATTTAATCAAATAACTTTGCCTGGTTAAAACCGATTTATAAACGCTGATCAATTTATAAATTTTTTTTAATCAGACTTTAAATTATATTACTAATGTAAAGCATAAATATATTTAATATATAAATTATGAGTCTTTCTTGAGTGTATTGATTAAGTGATATTTATTTGTTGCACGTTTGGCAATTATGTTTTACGCTGACGACTTAATTATGAGTCTTTTGAGTGTATTGATTAAGTGATATTTATTTATTGCCCGTTTGGCAATTATGTTTTACGCTGATGACTTGGTGCCGGAGTACTGACGTGTTGAGCTAACGACGTTTATTTCAGAACTAAAAACATGCGATACAATTCTTAGGGCTTAAAGCTAACCGAATATGATTCTTAAATTATTTCCTCGTTCATAGCGGCCACGTAAATATGGTGTGTCTGCCGGCTATGCAACGACATCCGGCCCAATGCTTATTCAGCAATTGTGGTCGGAGTCATATTCAGGTCAACCGTTCGCTGACTCCGCTTAACTACTCCCCCTTTAAGACCAAGGCCGCCCTCGGCCGACCCTATTTCTGCGATCACTTCTCTTAACTGTAGCGCAGACTTTCTGGCGCTGGTGATTCGCCAAAACGGAAGACCGATGCCAATGAGCAAAACACATACCACTCCCACGATGTATATTATCTGGTATACGGCTTTGCTACCGGTACCTCTTTGAATTTCTGGATCTCCTCCAGGTTACTTTCACTCAGTCGGTGAAGGTACGGAAGACTGAGGATATCCCGGCTGGCCGTGATATTTAGTAAGGGGGTGTTAGCAGTACCTGGGACCTTATTCTGCACGTTGTTATGGTTAATGAATAAAGTTCCGTTCACCGCAGCGCGGTCGATGAAGGTGATGAGATGCATGCCATGTACCCAGATTTCGGTGCCGTTGTCCACTTGCACTTTCGCTGGCCTGTCATTTACGATGAGAATTCCGTCATCTACGAAAGTGATAGCGACTAAATTGCTTGGTTGGATTTCGCAATTCGCTATCCCGCCTACGTAAAGCTCTCTGGCGCATGAACTCCCGGATGCTAGATGACAAAATGTGGCCCCCGGAGAGGCGGTGCAATTTTCGAGAGCATGCGTTTCCCCATCGCAATCTGCCACGACGTTATTCATCATGCGTAGTATGAAATTCTCATGTGTGACCGGGAAAATAGCGAACTTTTTGCAAGCAAATTTAATTTTCGGAAATTTAATAATAAACTAAAGGATGTTAACGGACTGTAAAACTTTCACGGACGCAACGGCCATAAGATCCCCTATGGGAGTGGGTTCCTCCAGCCAAACTGATGCCAAATCTGAATGATCGAGAATGTTTGGGCTAACAATGTTAACCTTTGCAAGAGGTGTTGCCAGCATTAGATTTTGCAACTCCATCATTAACATTCGATTCCTGGCTAGTAATGTCTCATATAAATGGCCAGTATCGGCTTGAGTGTCCTTAGCTGTTCCGAGAATTTGACGGACTGTAGAAGTAAGTTGATTAATTTGTACCTGGATTCTTGTGTTAATTTCTATTTGCTTATTGTTTGAATTAATTAATTGTGCCTCAATGAACCGAGTTTTTTCTAAATCGCCGGCATCCGGTGTGCCTGCCACAACCTTCAACATGGAACCTAAGAAGTCTTAGCTCCTGGCCACTGTGTGGTGCGCGCCCAACGCCTCTAGCAAATCTCGGAGGTGATCTGCATCCACGCTCAGAAGCTTTTTCATTTGCGACTGTGGGAACATGACATTCAATTGGACCGTTTCTTCTACTCTACGCATGTATTCTGAGAGATTCGCTGAATGTTTAACGTAGGCGTATTCTTCCCATACTAGGACACGGCCATCGACAATGGGAATGTATTTGGACTGAGAATAGTCCGTGATGCGTGCCGAAGTCAAGGATAGGAAGAAGGGAAGGACAAATCCAAACCACAAATGATGCCATTTCAAAATTTGTCAACATTTATACGGAAGCAACAGGCCAGGCAGAGGTAATTATCAGAACAACGGTCCCAGAAACAATAACCAAAGTTATAACATAAATTATAATAGGGCAGAAGGCCAAAATAGAGGAAACTCTAAAGGCCGTGGCAACTCGAATCGAGGCCACAACAATAATGTCCGAGTTACTCAGACTAACTCGGAAAACCAACAAAACCCTTAAGATATGCAACAAGACACACCAAAGTACGCACAGTCAATCTAAACCTCAGTATCGTACTAAAATAGAGTAACAGGATAACAGATCTGGAAATAAACAATATTTAAAAAAAAATAAACAAAAAAAATGAGTATCTTCATTAAGATAAATAACGAAAAAACAGGTAATGCATTTACCCTATTGTTAGATACTGGTGCAGACATATCACTATTAAAGGAACATGTTGATGCACTTGAAAACATTAATTTAAACATATCAACTCATATATCTGGCATCGGGGAAGGCTCAGTTTTTTCTAAAGGTTTAGCATTCGTAGAATTATCTACCGGAAAATATGTCATTCCACACGACTGTCCGACTATCGGACACGATTTCCAAATACCCAGAGATGGCAATATTGGTATAGACTTCTTTAAAAAATATAATTGCCAATTTGATTTCACACAAACATGTGATTCTCTAATACTTCGGCCAAATAATTTAAATTATCCAATAAAACTACCAACAACTCATACTTGTGATACTGATGCCACAATACTTCCAGCTCGTTCTGAAGTAGTCCGTCAAATCAATATTGTTCTGACAGAAAACAATATTTTCATTCCAAATCAAGAAATTGATAAGGGAATATTCATTGGAAATACTATTTCCAACAATCAACAAACATTTCTTCGAATTTTAAATACAACAAATTCATTAAAAATAGTAAATCTTAACGACATTAAAGTACAAAACCTAAGTGACTAAAAAAGACCATTCCCCCATTATTCAAAACACAACTAAAAGATCTCTGCACCGAGTATACAGACATATTTGGACTCGAACCGAATTCAAACCAACCAATAATTTTTATTAACAGAAACTAAGACTAAAAGATACTGAGCCAGTTTACATTAAGAACTACAGAACTCCTCATACTCATACTCATAACCAATAATTTTTATTAACAGAAACTAAGACTAAAAGATACTGAGCCAGTTTACATTAAGAACTACAGAACTCCTCATACTCATAACGAGGAAGTTAATAATCAAACCAAAAACTTATCTCGGATAAAATTGTAGAACCGTCTGTATCGGAATATAACAGCCCTATATTTCTTGTCCCAAAAAAAAGGGATTACCTGGTTTCGATACCAAGAGATAACGATTAGTTATAGACTATCGTCAAATTAACATAAAACTCTTGTTTGACAAATTTCCACTCCCAAGATTTGATGATATTCTTGACCAACTAGGCAGAGCAAAATATTTCTCATGCTTAGATTTAATGTCCGGTTTTCACTAAATATAATTAGAAGAAAATTATATAAATATAATGTCTTTTCCAACGAACAATGGCTCCTATCGTTTTACACGATTAGCATATGGTCTAAAAATAGTGCCTAATTCTTTTCAAAAAATGATGATTAGAACCTTCACAAGCTTTCTTGTACATGGATGACTTGATCGTCATCGGTTGTTCCGAAAACCACATGATTGAAAACTTAACAAAAGTTTTTGACTTGTGTAGGCAACACAACCTTAAATTACATCCAGAGAAGTGACTTTTCTAGATCATAAGTGTACTGATCAAGGTATTTTTTCAGATGACAAAAAATATGGTGTCATTGAAAAATATCAAGTCCCTATGGACGCTGATAGCGCTAGAAGATTCGTTGCATTTTGCAATTATTACAGACGTTTTATAAAAAACTGCAGATTATTCACTTCACATTACAAGATTATGTAAAAAGACTGTAAAGTTTGAGTGGTCCGATGAATGCCAAAAAGCTTTAGAAAATTTAAAAAAATTAAGCCCACTTTACTAAAATACTCAGATCTTGGCAAAGAATTTTGCATCATAACAGATGCCAGTAAACTAGCTTGCGGAGCAGTTTTGACTCAAACGTATGGAGATAAACAATTGCCTGTAGCATATGCTTCTCGTTTATTTACAAAAGGAGAAAGCAATATAAGTACCTCCGAACAACAGTTGGTATCCACTAGGCAATAACGCATTTTCGACCATACATATATGGTCAACATTTCACAATTAAAGCAGACCAGAGACTATTGACATATCTGTTTTCAATGGTAACTCCAAGTTGAAAATTAACGAGAAGGAGACAAGATTTAGAAGAGTTTGAGTTCACTGTAGAATACCTTAAGCGAAAAGATCATTTTATGGCAGATGCGTTATGAAGAATAACCATCAAAAAATTAAAAAGTACTAACGCAAATGTCTTGAAAGTCACTACAAGACAACAAAGAAGACAAAATAAATCCTGCGCAGGAAATGAACAAAAAATTTTGCCAAGGCAAAATCTTGATAAAGGCTTCTGAGTCCCATTTATACGACGTCATTAAAAACGACGATATGCTAAAAATAGTAACCTTACACATAACTAATATGCTATGTATTTAAAACATGGTAAAAAGGTTGTTGCAAGAATTGAGATTAGGGACCTTTATGCTAATGGAACTATCGATTTAGGTCAATTTTTCCAATGGCTTGAAAAAGAAGCCGGTATATTGGGAATCAGCCAACTTTAAGTGGTACCGAGCGAAAGATCTTTGAAAACACTTTAATAGATACTTTCAATAATATGGGCAATATATATTTTAACAACTTAAGAGTAGCGCTACTCAGGCCGGTAACCCAAATAAATAAAGAAAAAGAAAAACAAGCAATAATGCATACATTCTATGATGATCCTATTCAAGGTGGTTACAGAGGCTTTTCAAAAGCGGTAGCAAAAATAAAATGACATTACTATTGGAAAAATATCACACATCATATAACAAGGTACGTGCGTAATTGTCCGAAATTTTAAAAAGCTAAAACAACAAAGCACACTAAGACACCTACCTAACAAAATATCTAATTGCCATTCTGATCCCAAATAAACATTTTTGAAGCTTTTATTCTGAAGTACGGTCCAATGGAGACGTTCATCACGCATATGGGAACAGAAAATAAGAATTCAATCATAAATGACTTGTGCAAATACCTAAAAATTAATAGAACGAGAAAGAAGGGCTATCTTTGACACGCCAAAGATCTAATACCCTTGCAGACGCAACCTTTTCATAATGCTCATAGTGCTTTGCCCCTATCTAAGAAGTACCGGAAAAATAGTAAATGCCGATTTTGGTCAAGATATCTTGATAAACAAAATGTTTTTTCATACAACTTAATTTTCGACCGATCGTTCCTATGGCAGCTATATGATATAGTGGTCCGATCTTAATAGTATTTTGCATATATATGAGGAGCATAGTGAAACTAATAAATGCCGAGCTTGGTCAAGATATCTTGAAAAACAAAATGTTTTTTCATACAAAAACTTAATTTTCGACCGATCATTCCTATGGCAGCTATATGATATAGCGGTCCGATATTAATAGGATCTTGCACATATATGAGGAGTAAAGTAAAACTAATAAATGCCGAGTTTGGTCAAGATATCTTGATAAACAAAATGTTTTTTCATACAAAAACTTAATTTTCGACCGATCGTTCCTATGGCAGCTATATGATATAGTGGGCCGATCCAGCTGGTTTTCACATATGTGCTGCGTGCAACAGAAAGAGGGAGTTCTGCAAAGTTTCATTAAGATAGCTTTAAAACTGAGGGACTAGTTCGCATAGAAACAGACAGACGGACAGACAGACGGACATGGCTATATCGACTCGGCTGTTGATGCTAATTAAGAATGCGTTACACTATGCGTTACACATTTCACGACAAAATTATAATACCCTCTGCAAGGGTATAAAAACATCTACAGCACACCACCACCAGACAGTCGGAACAGTCGAAAGAAGTCATAGAACTTTTAACGGAGATAACGATTATACATATCAGTTGATAAAACTGATTGGGACGTATGGTTTCAATATTTCGTTTACTGTTTCAACACGACCCCCTCTATGACACATACTTATTGTCCATACGAGCTAATACTTGGTAAAACAAATAACCTACCAAAACATTTTAATAACAAAGATAGTATGGAACCACTTTGTAATATAGATGATTACGCTAAGGAATCGAAATATAGACTAGAAACAGCATATAAAAGAGCTAGGATTATGCTTGAACAGCACAAAGAGAGAAACAAACTCTAGGTAAGAAAGTCGTAGGTAAGAAAGTCGTAAACTTTGAATTAAAATTAGGAGATAAAGTTATATTAAGAAACGAAACAGCTCATTAGCTAGATTTTAATTATATTGGACCATATAAGGTCACAGGTATATAAGATAGATATAATATAGTAATATCAGATAATAATATAAAATACAGAAAGTTCATAAGGATAGGTTAAGAATTTTTACTTCATAATCATTTTTTATTATTCCTATTATTATAAACTTGAGTAATACATTTACATTTTTACATTTTAAATTTCTAAAAAAAAAAAAATAATAAAAATACTAAATTGCATGATCAGCCAAAACAAAACACATAATATATACTTATTTATAAACAAATTTTTTTTTGTTTTAATCTTTATCACTTTAAAAAGAAAAATATACAATAAATTAAAAATAACTACATTACACTACGTTTTTTTCTAAAAGGGGAGGTGTAGTGTGTATATGCCTTACTAGAACACCCTATATAAACTATGTGGTACCTTGTCACATACAATAACAATTATACATTAAACAAGCCCAGAGCCACTTTATATATTGGCTCTTTCTCATATTACGCAGCGCAGGTCACTAGCCTCTATGTTTACGCTGCACTTCCCACGTTCCGTCTGAGCGCATTCAATGAGCAACATATATTCTCACTAACACAGGCATATGCAAGCTACTCACTCTCCCTCTCTCTGTAGCTGTTTACCAATAATAGCATAAGTATATACATGTATCCATAGGCTAAGTGCATTATATAGATTTGAAAAATTCATTCCATTTCAATAACCAAAAAACACTTAACACAAAAGTGATGTACTAGGCTTTGAATTAATAGATCGCGTCGTATATAAAATTGATGAAAGCAGTGGCTTGTGATTATATGCTCGAGCAAGTATGGAAGGCCAGCTGATCCGCCTAGCGCATGAAAAATTTGGCCATTTAGCAGCAGACAAGTGTTTTAATAATTTAAAAAAATCTTATTGGTTCCCTGCTTTGCGGAGTAAAGTAGAGAAATTTATCCGAAACTGTTTGCCATGCATATTGCATTCTGTTCCAAAAACCATACATAATAAGACACTTCATAGCATACCCAAACCTAGTGTAGAGTTCCATACACTTCATATTGACCACTAAGGACTCTTACCAAGTATAAATTCAAAAGGAAAGCATCTATTAGTGGTAGTGGACGGCTTTAAAAATTTTGTAAAGCTTTTTCCAGTAAATGCGTTGAATAAATATTTTAAATATTACAGCTACCCGAAAATTATAATATCAGATCGTGGGACATGTTTTACATCTTTAGAGTTTTCCACATTTTTGAGCGAGCGCGACATAGAACCACAAGTTAATGTCCAAGTTGAGCGTGTTAGCCGGGTGGTAACACCTATGATGGGAAAATTGTCGGAACCAATTTCAAGCAGGCTGGCAGAAATTAATGATTAGGGTAGAGTACGCTATCAACAATGCGGTTTATAGTAGTACTCGATGCCGCTTGCCTTCGTTGATATATCAGCTGTTTATGGTCGTGATACTTTACACAAGGGCAAATGTTCGGGGCAAATTTACACATTTTTTAAAAATGTTCATTTTTTGAAAGATGTGTGAAATGTGTTTTCTTATGGGGAAATGCAAAGGCAGCATTTCACACAATTTGCAAAAATGTCACAGTTTCAGAAAAGTGTAAGAAATGTGTTCAGTGGACAGAGGCTATAAAAAATAAATTTAAGATTACCACTGTTTTTATACCCTGAACCCATTCAAAATGGGTATAAGGGTATATTGTATTTGTGCAAAATCCAAATGTATGTAACAGGCAGAAGGAAGTATCTCCGACCCCATAAAGTATATATATTCTTGATTAGCACCAATAGCCGAGTCGATCTAGCCATGTTCGTCTGTCTGTCCGTCCGTCCGTCCGTTTATATGAACGCAAGGATCTCAGAACCTATAAGAGCTAGAGACTTGAAATTTTAGATGTAGGTGCTCCTAGTGCCTGCGCAGATCAAGTTTTTTTCCGATGATCGATAACGTACTCCGTTTCCAAGCAATCGATAATCGATATCGTCATCCTGTTTTTTGAGCAAATTGGGTAAATAATAAGAGCCAGAGCCACCAAACATGATATGTTATTTCTAGAATATTATACTTATATATGTCAAGTATCTTTCCTTTTATGCCTATCGCCACCTGCCCGCTACCATCCTAGAGCTGTAAATCAAGTTAATAACCCAACTTTTATTACACACCAATTTAAGCCACAATTTAAATGCAATTGAATTTTTCAGAAGACATAAATATTCTATGATACAATAAGATATACTGTAGAAAATTTCGTAAAGATCGGTTAGGAAAAAAACAAAGTTATATGCAACTGCGCAATTGAATGGGGCAGCAGCTTTCAGAATTTCTATATACATGTACACACACACATTCATACTCGTCTGCTTCGCATTTTAACAGCATGGTAATTGCGACTTTTTTCTGTAATGATTTTTAATTTCTTTTTTTATCATAAGTAGGTAATTATTGGTGTGGCTGCTGAGTAGAGGCATAGCAAGTGGTGCGGTCTGTCGTGAGTTCGAGCCCTACCGGGGAATATTTTTTTTTTTTGCTGGTGTGGCTGTTTAGTAGAGTCGACAGCAAGTAATGCGGTCAGTTGCGAGTTCAAACCCAGCCAAGACAACTTTTTTTGTTGATTTATTTGGTGTTGGAATAAGAGGTTCAGGGTATTCCCTGTTCGGGAGCTCCAGACTAAAACCTCTTACTTGTTTTGAATTCGTTTAAAAAAAAAGAACATATTAAAACATTTTTTTATTACAGTATGAAGACGAGCTGGAAGGTCTCTGCGAAATGCCAATAGCGGAGAAGAAATATTAGTCGTCAACTTCGTTGAGTTCCCAAAAAAGCTCGCAAAGCATTTTAGATAAATTTTTTCAGTTTCAGTATTAACACGAACAAATATTTTCGAATGCGCTGTCCTTAATGGCTCAACAACGTTTTTAAATGAAAAATCATTAGTTATATTAATTGATGCAAATTGAGGCAATTTTATTCGCTTTTAATTAAATAAACAAAAATATGAACATGGAAATACAAATGATGAAATAGTAAGTAAAGTAAGTAAGTATCAATCGGCTTATTTACAAAAACATATCATTTTCTCACTTACACTTTGGAGATGACCACGTCACGCAAGATTACAGAAGCTCTGCTGGATTGTGTACGACAGCCACGCAAAGTGCAGCAGCGACCTAAGGTGATGACGAACATAATAAATGTTTTAGTTACATATTTGTGGTTACATATTTGTGGTAAAAATAGATGCGTCTGAGCGTCCAGCTAAATTAATTCCACATTGGCGTCCAGACAAATGAGAACGAGTAAGTCATGATTAAATTATTAACCTCACGAATCTCCTGTACACTCTGCAGAAATTGTGGCAATGGTTTTCTTTAAATCTAAGAGCTGGTGCGGCACATGAATAAACAGATGAATCGACCTTATGCCCCGCTTCCTTCACCGATCGTTGAACTACGAGCAAGCATCATTAGTAGGTAAATTCCTCAATAGCATACAAAAGGGGAAAACCGCACTTGTCAGTTTTGTTCAACCATATATTAATTTATTTAATTATTTATTGCAGTATTGTTGTTATTATATTGTTAACACCCATAAAATGCGATTGCATCATGTGTCGCATAAGAAACGTGAAACTTGTTGACTTGGACATGCAAACGCAAAAACCTATTAAAAATGAAATGGTTATCGTGTTGAATGAGTTAAAATTGATTATGTAAGATTATATTAGTAACATTTAATCAAATAACTTTGCCTGGTTAAAACCGATTTATAAACGCTGATCAATTTATACATTTTTTTTAATCAGACTTTAAATTATATTACTAATGTAAAGCATAAATATATTTAATATATAAATTATGAGTCTTTCTTGAGTGTATTGATTAAGTGATATTTATTTGTTGCACGTTTGGCAATTATGTTTTACGCTGACGACTTAATTATGAGTCTTTTGAGTGTATTGATTAAGTGATATTTATTTATTGCCCGTTTGGCAATTATGTTTTACGCTGATGACTTGGTGCCGGAGTACTGACGTGTTGAGCTAACGACGTTTATTTCAGAACTAAAAACATGCGATACAATTCTTAGGGCTTAAAGCTAACCGAATATGATTCTTAAATTATTTCCTCGTTCATAGCGGCCACGTAAATATGGTGTGTCTGCCGGCTATGCAACGACATCCGGCCCAATGCTTATTCAGCAATTGTGGTCGGAGTCATATTCAGGTCAACCGTTCGCTGACTCCGCTTAACTACTCCCCCTTTAAGACCAAGGCCGCCCTCGGCCGACCCTATTTCTGCGATCACTTCTCTTAACTGTAGCGCAGACTTTCTGGCGCTGGTGATTCGCCAAAACGGAAGACCGATGCCAATGAGCAAAACACATACCACTCCCACGATGTATATTATCTGGTATACGGCTTTGCTACCGGTACCTCTTTGAATTTCTGGATCTCCTCCAGGTTACCTTCACTCAGTCGGTGAAGGTACGGAAGACTGAGGATATCCCGGCTGGCCGTGATATTTAGTAAGGGGGTGTTAGCAGTACCTGGGACCTTATTCTGCACGTTGTTATGGTTAATGAATAAAGTTCCGTTCACCGCAGCGTGGTCGATGAAGGTGATGAGATGCGTGCCATGTACCCAGATTTCGGTGCCGTTGTCCACTTGCACTTTCGCTGGCCTGTCATTTACGATGAGAATTCCGTCATCTACGAAAGTGATAGCGACTAAATTGCTTGGTTGGATTTCGCAATTCGCTATCCCGCCTACGTAAAGCTCTCTGGCGCATGAACTCCCGGATGCTAGATGACAAAATGTGGCCCCCGGAGAGGCGGTGCAATTTTCGAGAGCATGCGTTTCCCCATCGCAATCTGCCACGACGTTATTCATCATGCGTAGTATGAAATTCTCATGTGTGACCGGGAAAATAGCGAACTTTTTGCAAGCAAATTTAATTTTCGGAAATTTAATAATAAACTAAAGGATGTTAACGGACTGTAAAACTTTCACGGACGCAACGGACATAAGATCCCCTATGGGAGTGGGTTCCTCCAGCCAAACTGATGCCAAATCTGAATGATCGAGAATGTTTGGGCTAACAATGTTAACCTTTGCAAGAGGTGTTGCCAGCATTAGATTTTGCAACTCCATCATTAACATTCGATTCCTGGCTAGTAATGTCTCATATAAATGGCCAGTATCGGCTTGAGTGTCCTTAGCTGTTCCGAGAATTTGACTGACTGTAGAAGTAAGTTGATTAATTTGTACCTGGATTCTTGTGTTAATTTCTATTTGCTTATTGTTTGAATTAATTAATTGTGCCTCAATGAACCGAGTTTTTTCTAAATCGCCGGCATCCGGTGTGCCTGCCACAACCTTCAACATGGAACCTAAGAAGTCTTAGCTCCTGGCCACTGTGTGGTGCGCGCCCAACGCCTCTAGCAAATCTCGGAGGTGATCTGCATCCACGCTCAGAAGCTTTTTCATTTGCGACTGTGGGAACATGACATTCAATTGGACCGTTTCTTCTACTCTACGCATGTATTCTGAGAGATTCGCTGAATGTTTAACGTAGGCGTATTCTTCCCATACTAGGACACGGCCATCGACAATGGGAATGTATTTGGACTGAGAATAGTCCGTGATGCGTGCCGAAGTCAAGGATAGGAAGAAGGGAAGGACAAATCCAAACCACAAATGATGCCATTTCAAAATTTGTCAACATTTATACGGAAGCAACAGGCCAGGCAGAGGTAATTATCAGAACAACGGTCCCAGAAACAATAACCAAAGTTATAACATAAATTATAATAGGGCAGAAGGCCAAAATAGAGGAAACTCTAAAGGCCGTGGCAACTCGAATCGAGGCCACAACAATAATGTCCGAGTTACTCAGACTAACTCGGAAAACCAACAAAACCCTTAAGATATGCAACAAGACACACCAAAGTACGCACAGTCAATCTAAACCTCAGTATCGTACTAAAATAGAGTAACAGGATAACAGATCTGGAAATAAACAATATTTAAAAAAAAATAAACAAAAAAAATGAGTATCTTCATTAAGATAAATAACGAAAAAACAGGTAATGCATTTACCCTATTGTTAGATACTGGTGCAGACATATCACTATTAAAGGAACATGTTGATGCACTTGAAAACATTAATTTAAACATATCAACTCATATATCTGGCATCGGGGAAGGCTCAGTTTTTTCTAAAGGTTTAGCATTCGTAGAATTATCTACCGGAAAATATGTCATTCCACACGACTGTCCGACTATCGGACACGATTTCCAAATACCCAGAGATGGCAATATTGGTATAGACTTCTTTAAAAAGTATAATTGCCAATTTGATTTCACACAAACATGTGATTCTCTAATACTTCGGCCAAATAATTTAAATTATCCAATAAAACTACCAACAACTCATACTTGTGATACTGATGCCACAATACTTCCAGCTCGTTCTGAAGTAGTCCGTCAAATCAATATTGTTCTGACAGAAAACAATATTTTCATTCCAAATCAAGAAATTGATAAGGGAATATTCATTGGAAATACTATTTCCAACAATCAACAAACATTTCTTCGAATTTTAAATACAACAAATTCATTAAAAATAGTAAATCTTAACGACATTAAAGTACAAAACCTAAGTGACTAAAAAAGACCATTCCCCCATTATTCAAAACACAACTAAAAGATCTCTGCACCGAGTATACAGACATATTTGGACTCGAACCGAATTCAAACCAACCAATAATTTTTATTAACAGAAACTAAGACTAAAAGATACTGAGCCAGTTTACATTAAGAACTACAGAACTCCTCATACTCATACTCATAACCAATAATTTTTATTAACAGAAACTAAGACTAAAAGATACTGAGCCAGTTTACATTAAGAACTACAGAACTCCTCATACTCATAACGAGGAAGTTAATAATCAAACCAAAAACTTATCTCGGATAAAATTGTAGAACCGTCTGTATCGGAATATAACAGCCCTATATTTCTTGTCCCAAAAAAAAGGGATTACCTGGTTTCGATACCAAGAGATAACGATTAGTTATAGACTATCGTCAAATTAACATAAAACTCTTGTTTGACAAATTTCCACTCCCAAGATTTGATGATATTCTTGACCAACTAGGCAGAGCAAAATATTTCTCATGCTTAGATTTAATGTCCGGTTTTCACTAAATATAATTAGAAGAAAATTATATAAATATAATGTCTTTTCCAACGAACAATGGCTCCTATCGTTTTACACGATTAGCATATGGTCTAAAAATAGTGCCTAATTCTTTTCAAAAAATGATGATTAGAACCTTCACAAGCTTTCTTGTACATGGATGACTTGATCGTCATCGGTTGTTCCGAAAACCACATGATTGAAAACTTAACAAAAGTTTTTGACTTGTGTAGGCAACACAACCTTAAATTACATCCAGAGAAGTGACTTTTCTAGATCATAAGTGTACTGATCAAGGTATTTTTTCAGATGACAAAAAATATGGTGTCATTGAAAAATATCAAGTCCCTATGGACGCTGATAGCGCTAGAAGATTCGTTGCATTTTGCAATTATTACAGACGTTTTATAAAAAACTTTGCAGATTATTCACTTCACATTACAAGATTATGTAAAAAGACTGTAAAGTTTGAGTGGTCCGATGAATGCCAAAAAGCTTTAGAAAATTTAAAAAAATTAAGCCCACTTTACTAAAATACTCAGATCTTGGCAAAGAATTTTGCATCATAACAGATGCCAGTAAACTAGCTTGCGGAGCAGTTTTGACTCAAACGTATGGAGATAAACAATTGCCTGTAGCATATGCTTCTCGTTTATTTACAAAAGGAGAAAGCAATATAAGTACCTCCGAACAACAGTTGGTATCCACTAGGCAATAACGCATTTTCGACCATACATATATGGTCAACATTTCACAATTAAAGCAGACCAGAGACTATTGACATATCTGTTTTCAATGGTAACTCCAAGTTGAAAATTAACGAGAAGGAGACAAGATTTAGAAGAGTTTGAGTTCACTGTAGAATACCTTAAGCGAAAAGATCATTTTATGGCAGATGCGTTATGAAGAATAACCATCAAAAAATTAAAAAGTACTAACGCAAATGTCTTGAAAGTCACTACAAGACAACAAAGAAGACAAAATAAATCCTGCGCAGGAAATGAACAAAAAATTTTGCCAAGGCAAAATCTTGATAAAGGCTTCTGAGTCCCATGTATACGACGTCATTAAAAACGACGATATGCTAAAAATAGTAACCTTACACATAACTAATATGCTATGTATTTAAAACATGGTAAAAAGGTTGTTGCAAGAATTGAGATTAGGGACCTTTATGCTAATGGAACTATCGATTTAGGTCAATTTTTCCAATGGCTTGAAAAAGAAGCCGGTATATTGGGAATCAGCCAACTTTAAGTGGTACCGAGCGAAAGATCTTTGAAAACACTTTAATAGATACTTTCAATAATATGGGCAATATATATTTTAACAACTTAAGAGTAGCGCTACTCAGGCCGGTAACCCAAATAAATAAAGAAAAAGAAAAACAAGCAATAATGCATACATTCTATGATGATCCTATTCAAGGTGGTTACAGAGGCTTTTCAAAAGCGGTAGCAAAAATAAAATGACATTACTATTGGAAAAATATCACACATCATATAACAAGGTACGTGCGTAATTGTCCGAAATTTTAAAAAGCTAAAACAACAAAGCACACTAAGACAATGTCAATATTCTGAGAGATTCGCTGAATGTTTAACGTAGGCGTATTCTTCCCATACTAGGACAGGGCCATCAACAATGGGAATGTATTTGGACTGAGAGTAGTCCGTGATGCGTGCCAAAGTCAAGGATAGGAAGAAGAGAAGGACAAATCCAAACCTGCGAAGTGAAGTGTTCGTTTTCAGCTATTTTTAGTTTAAAAAGCCATATCCTACCACCAATAAGCGACTTAATATAAAATGTAATGAAACTTATATTAAATAAGAAATGCGCCAAGTGGCTTATAAAAGAATAAAAATATGTGCAAGGACTCGTTTACTGGAATTATTTCAAATTATCCTTTTGGACCATTCTCCCATTAATGAGGACCGTGGACCCCAGGTCCGCTTGTACAGTTCTTTCCTCGCACAATGGCGTGAGTTTATTTCCAAGCCTTCGGTTGGACTTGACTAAAACCTTTTCACCGACCTCAAAGACTCTATTCTGCCGGGAGGCGTTCTCTTTAGTTCTGAGCGCGATCTGTGCATCTTTGATTTTGCGTTGTATTTCTTGTTAAGGCTCAGCCGGATGTGCTTGAACAACGTCAACTGGTCTTTTGTTAATGACCGAGTGGACTGACTGGTTGTACTCAGCAGTTGCCAGTAAAATTACCTCAACGGTGTCGCTTATGTTCTCGACGATTTTTAAGCATCTGGCAAGCTCTAACAACGTGCTATAAAAGCGCTCTACTTGTCCATTCGACACACTATGCAAAGGTGGCGCGTTTGACATACTCACTGCAAAATTATTGTACAGCATGGTTGAAATTGTCTGTGAATTCAATGCTGGTTCATTGTCACAGTATATCGATTTCGCTTTTGGAAAAAACTTCATGAGCTGAAGCAATGCTGGCTTCAGGTCCTCAAAGGTCCTTGAAGAGATAGGCTGTACGACAGCGAATTTTGAAAACTTGTCGATGCAAGTAAGAAAACATTATTTGTCAGTCGAGAAGATGTCTATGTGTAGCATCTCTTCAACATGCGCCGGGTTTGGTGTTTCACCCAACTCTTGTTTTCTAGGGTGTCTATCGTATTTGGCCTTAGGGCACATTTTGCAGTTTTGCACAATTTCGTTCGCTACCTTGGCCATTTACGGAAAGTAGTTTTCGGAGAGAACCTGTTTCAAGTTCTCTTGAGCAGACCTGTGTGCCCTATCGTGCTCAGCTGTGAGGACTTCTCTTCTTTCCCCAACCCCGAATATGTCAACCACACGATTCTTGCAGTGGCAGAATTTTTTAGCTGGAAATTTTCGATCCACTTCGTCTTGTATCATCGCAAGAGTGTGCAACTCGCAGTGAAAAGCGTTTACACCTCTTGGTATGATTATGTCTCCCAGCTCATCTTATAAAGACTCCTTGCATGTAAAGCTTATCGAGTGTCGCCTCTTGACCCAAACAGTATGAAACTGCGCTTCAAAGGAAAGCGCGCCTCCTCCAATACTATCTGATTTTGAAAGCAATTCAGAGGCTTATCTGTTGTTTCAATGGTGTGAGTCAAAGAAACCTCACTGTGGATCGTTGCCGCACAAGACTCGATTTATTGTCCTTCTACAACATTGAGTTGTTGTCTGGACAAAGCGTCTGCAACCAGGTTTTCTTTGCCAGGTTTGTAGAAAATCTGCGCATTCGACTCATCGATGCACGCTTTCCATCGTTTAATCTTCGCATTAGGGTTTGACTCCGATACTGCGAAGGTTAACGGCTGGTAATCAGTGAAAATGTTTATGTCCTTGACCCCATACAGGTAATGTCGCAACTTGGCAAGCGCGCATATAATAGCCAACAGCTCCCTCTCGTTGGTAGCATAATTGACTTCTCTGTCTTTCAATGTTTGTGAAATCATTGTAATCGGACGCCCCTCTTGGGAAAGAACTGCGCCTATGCCATAGGCCGAAGCATCGGTTGTTAAATCGAATGTTTTTTATAGTCGGGATACCTCAGCATGACATCTTATGATGCCAAAATATTACATAGCTTTTGAAACGCACGTTGTTGCGTTTCGGAGAACTGCACCTGAATGTTCCTCGATCTCGTCTACTGATTGTTCCATTTTCCCCTTTTAGAATTTCCGAAATAGGCCTTGCTATTGCTGCGAAGTCTTTTATGAAACATCTATAATAACTTGCGAGACCCAAAAATGACCTGACTTCGAAAAGCGTTTTCGGCTCTGAGAAGTCCTGTATGGCTTTTACCTTTTCCGGGTTTGTTGTCGCACCGTTGCAAGTGACTATAAGCCCAAGGAACTTCACAATTTTCTTAAAGAAGCGTGATTTTTCTACTGACACCCTCATATTTGCCTCATATAAGCTCTTCAGGACCCAGTCTACGTGTTTGACATGTAACTCTCCATCTTCAGAGAAGATAATCACGTCATTCACGTAGACATAGCTACATTTGGCGATCTGGTCTCGCAAGATATCGTCAATGGTCCTCTGAAAGATGCTGGCTGCATTTTTCAGACCGAACGGGAGTATTCGAAACTCATACTTCCCATTTACTGAGAAGGAAGATTTCTCACGATCGCGTTCTGTGAGCATGATTTGATGGTAGCCAGACTTGAGGTCCAACGTCGAGAAAAATTTCGCTTTTCCCAAGTTTCCCAATATCATTGAAATATTTGGCATGGGATATTTATCGGGTATCGCATGTTTCGAATACCCGCCTCATCTGTACCTTTTTTATCCACAACCCAAATAGGATTATTGTAGGGA